CTGCTGGCTCCTCCACGTGCCCGGGAACTCCCCGCATCGGATCTTTCATTTCCACTCTGAGTCATGCTGTGGGAGGTGAGGAAGTGCTGCAAGTCCTTGTGCAAGGTCTCCGATGGATTCGGGCGAGATTTGTCACTGCTTGTAAATCACGGAGCCCGTTGGGCGCTCCTTACGCAAGGGACAAACCTCAGCCAGAGCCACAGCGTGCCCGGGCACGGCTCAGCCCCGCCAGGCTGTCGGATGACAGATGGACTGAAGGAGAGCCACCGAGATCTGCAGCAGGGCGAGCACCTGGTTCTGCCAGCATAAAAACCACATCTTCACTTCGTGAAGTTTTCCCAGAGCATGAAGACACGTAGCCCTTTCCTGGGGGATGCCAGGCGAACCGGAGGTGAAACACGTCCCGTTGCCCTGGTGCGGGGCAGTGAGGTGGCAGCAGGGGTCACACAGGGCTTGGGGGGCACCAAGGGTTGCACCACGAGTAATCCCAGAATTTACCCTTGGGGATTTTGCATGAGAGATAATCCCAGTGGTTGTCCTTGGGTGTTTTCACCAGGATAAAGGCCAATGCTCATCCTTGAGCACTTTGCACCATAGATAAACCCAACAAGTGTCCTTGGGTGTTTGCACCACAGCTAATCCTGGTGCCATCCTCAGGGATTTGCACCACAGCTAATCCCAGCGCTCAGCCTCAGAGATTTGCAGCACAGCTAATCCCAGCCTCCGTCCTCCAGGAGCTAAGCCCGGCTCTCCAGGGGCTTGGTCTGCAGCACAGCTCACGCCAGTGCTCCTCCGCAGGGATTTGCACCACAGCTGGTCCCGAGGGGACAGGCTCACCCCTGGGCAGCCCCATGCCAATGCTGGTGTTGAGGATGGGGGCTGGGATCCCACTGATTTGGGCTGTTTCCCCGCAGACCTCTGGCCTCTCGTGTGCATCTCGCAACCCATGTCCACTGCAGGGCCCCCCTGCAAAACCCAGTCAACCTCTTCAAAACTTGTTGGGGAAAAGCCCAGGGTGGCAACACCTTCCCCTCCACACCTGCATGCGGAGGCTGTTCACTCTGAAACCTACTGACAGCAGTGGTCAGTGCCATGGTGGGCTTCTCCATTCTGGGCTTGGGGCCCTGTGCAAGGGAGGTTTCCTCCCTCTTTTAAGCAGAGAAATGC